CAAAATTTCAATTATAAAACTAAATGATACTCCAATATTTTACCTTTAAATGGAAAGTTTGTTTATTATATCCTCTTTAGCTTGCTCCATTGCCTCATAAATAAAACCAGCGGCTGGTTCGTCGATTGAATCCACCAAATGAAGCACTTCGATCAAAGGATTTGCACCTTTTAAGCAAATCAAATTTTTTTTCCAAAACTCATTGTCAAAAACAACATCCTCAACAGATTTTCCAACACTTGTTTTTGCAAATTGACTGCACTTCCACCCCTTAGATTTGAACATTTTTCTCAAAGCTCCCTTGTTCTCATAAAGATAGTCCAAAGTCAAGTAACACGAAGCACATGGCGTAATACTTGTTTTCACCAAATCTATTCCTTTTGTGAAGTTACGCAATAGAGAAATGATAGAATCCCTCGAATAAATAAAGGTTGTAATTCTTTTACCCTTTTCAATTGTCTTTCCATGTATAGGTATCTTCTTCTCGAAGTCTTCCAGTATCATCTCAATGCAGTGTGTGACACAAGGTGTCCAATACAACCTAGTCTTCTTCTCCATCAACATCTCACCGGCGACTTTGTAGAACGGTGTATTGTCCGTCACAATTTGAACAACATTTTCTTCTCCAACCTCTTCAACAATGCTATCCATCATCTTAAAGAGTTTGTAAGGTGTCTCCGACTCCAACATATGAGACGCATCAATAGACTTCAAAAAGTATTTTCCCTTTAAACTGTTGGCGAACAAGTTCAGTATGGTTCTCTTGTTGTCGATCCATGCATCAACCATTATAGTGCACCCTCTTGTCTTCCATACAACTCTGTGTTCTTCCAAGACTTTATTTGTAGACTTACCTACTTTCGTCAAATATTTCTCTCTAATCTCATCGGCAGACGGTGACTCATATCCAACGTCGAGTCTTGAAATCATATTATACATATCAACAAACTCCTTACTCTCTACCAGCTTCAGCGGTATGGCATTGTTGTAGAAAAATCTAGCAACCGCTTCAGAAGCTTCCTCTTTCAAAATATCCTTATTTTTAGCATCTGCTTCACAACTCTTACGAACCACATCATCGCCTTTTCTTTTTTGCCTAACTTTGACATAAGTAGGTTCCTTCTCTTTATCAACACTATTAGCAGAAGCTTCACCGTCACCGTCATCATGGGCGATTTTAAGACCTGGCTAGGCTGGGGATGTGCCCAGGCTCTAGCCCAAATTTTTTCTTTCTTATATTAAAAAAATTATGAAAATTGTGGCGGATGATTAGTCATATTATGGCGGTTTAAACCGTCATAATTAACGAAAATGCAGAAAAACATTATAATTTTAAATAAATTTGACTGCCACACAAAATGTCATAATATACATTGAATAAAATAACAATTTCTTTGTCGTTGATAATGGAAGGTTTGACCGCCATAAATTAAGCATTTTTCACAAATAAAAATAT